TTTTTTTTTTCTCGTAAAACGATCGACCTCAAATTTTGTATGGGATGTTAAAAAAAATTTTCCTATGCCATTTTAAATAAAAAACCACTTACGCGATGATGTCTCGCAATGTCTGAACATAAAAAAAAAAAAAAAAAAAAAACCTAAAACCTGAAATATTTGACGATGACGACGAGGATGATAAAATGACACTTTCTTAAATTTTTTTTTTTTTTTGCAACGCGTATAAAAACTTTTTATTTATTTATTTTCAACACGTGGGATTTTTTTTACACGTGCGTGACGTGCGTTGAAACGTTAAAATTTTTTTTTTTAAGTAAAAAAAAAAAAAACCTTTCTTTTATTTGAAAAAAGTTAAACCGCGATTCGAAAACATGATTTCCATATAATTTTTTTTTTTTTTTACGCGCGCCCGTGCGTGCGCCAGTAAATTATTATTATTATTATTATTATTCGAGTCCCTGAAATCGTGTGAAAAGTTAAATTATTTATTAGAAAGCGGGTTCAAGGTCATTTCATACCGAATTTGACACCGCCCTCTTTGTCAAATATTCATCTACCCGTTCGAAACGTGATAAACGATGTTACGTACCTGACACGACTACGTAATTACGCGTGGTAAAGTGTCACGTTAATAAAGCAGAAGACAAATGTTATAATAAAAACAACAACAATAAAAAAAATTAATTTATAATTTGTTTTGATTGTTCGCGCCGTCAAGCGATTTGAAATGAAATTAAAAAATTTCTTTTTTCGTTTTGTTTATTTATTCTATGGATAATTTCCATACGTCGCCTATCGTTTACCGTTCCCCATGATTTATTATTACATCGTTTTACATAATCGTTTCGGTTACGAAAAAAAAAAAAAAAAAAAAAAAAAAAAAAAAAATTTGAATTTCTCATCAATTAAAAGAACATTCTAGAAATCGATAATATCTCTTATACGATTTAAGGCGTCGACTATGATGATATTATTAATTGAATACGATAATAATAATAATACTAAACTATTACGAAGGTGAATGTCATGTGAACTTTTGTATATTGTTTTTTATTGTATTGAAAATGACACCTCCTCCCCCTCCCCCTCCCGAGAGACTTCGAATGGTGCCACTTAAATTAAAAAAAAAAAAATTTTAATGCGTTGATATCGGTTTAATAAAAGGCGGGTTAATAATAATAATAATAATGATAATAATAATATCCGATTTTTGTACGAATTATTCTGGAATTTTAATTACCACCCTAATTTTTTTTTTTTTTTTGTTTTTCCATTTGAAACCTTGATGCGTATTGTTTGCAGAGAAAGGAAGGTAAAGTCAATTAGAAGAGAGAAGGATGGGCCTAAACAAAATGAAATCCTGCTGTGCCCAAAGTTTTTTTATCCCTCTCTCTCTTCCCCTTTACCTTCCCCTCTCTCTCTCTCTCTCTCCCTTTCTCTATCCCCTTTTATCTCCTTCCTTCTCTCTCTCTCTCTCTCTCTCTCTTCCCCTTTACCTCCTTCCCTCCCTATCTTATTCTTTACCTTCTTCCTTCTCTTCCTCTCTCTTCCCCTTTATCTCCTTCCTTCTCTCTCTGTCACCCTTCCCCCTAACCTTCTTCTTCCTTCTCCCTCTCTCTCTCTCTTTTCAATAATTGTGATACTTTGATATTTATTTATTCCACATGAGTTTTTTTTTTTTAAATAACCTTCATTTTCACATTATTTTACGCATATTAAAAAATTTTTATACATTTTGTCAAATTAATAATAATAATAATAATAATAATAATATTAATAAAATAATTCTTGGCATATTAATAATGTTAATAAATTTTAAAAATAATAATAATAATAATAATGATAAATATTATTTTACAATGATAACATACGACCTTGCGTAAATTCAAATTCGTTTTTTTTTTTTTTAAATATTTTATTATTATTATTATTATTATTAAATCGTCCTCGATTTGAATGCCTCTTGCCGTCGCTCTCCTCCCCCCCCTCATCCCTTGACAAATTCCCCATAATTCGTCTCTCTCTCTCTCTCTAATTTTCTGATTTAAATAAAAAAATTTTCGAAAATTAAAAAAAAAAAAAAAAAAAAAAATTTCGTAAAACGACCGTTAAGAAATCATTTCCATATTTTTTTTTTCCTTTACCTTTCACACACACACACACTCCTCCCCTCCACCTCCTCTCATTACCTTCTTTTTTTACATAATAATAATAATAATAATAATAATTTATGTAATTAATTTTTTTTACACTACCTTTTTATAAAAGGTTTTACCGTGGGGGAAAAAAATATTTAATTAATAAATAATAATTAATTAATTAATAATTATTATTATTAATTAATTAATTAAAAAGGATTTCGAATTATAAATTTCCGTAGAAGGGGAAGGGGAAGGGGAAATTACGTCATTTTTCCCGTTAAAAAAAAAAAAACTTTCTAATTTTAATAATAATAATAATAATAATAATGAATTAATCGATAAATAAATCAATTAAATTTTTTTCTTTTCCCCCCCCTCCCGATAGGATTCAAATATTATAAGAGTGTGACAAATAATTTATTTAAATCATTTGCACACCTGGAAAAAAACGACGGTAATAAATAATAATAATAATAATTGAATCGTGATCGTTTGTAATAATGTAAAAAAAAAAAAATATAAAAAACGTTCGTTAAGTAATAATAATAATAATAATAACTTTTGATGATGATGATGATGAATAAATATAAACAATTTGAATAGTAAATTAAATAAAATGTATTTGATTAATGTGTTTACTTCACGCGTTCGATTGACTCAATTATTATTATTATGATTGTTAAAAATTTATTTATCACCCGTTTGTCGTTTGTATGCATCGCTTTCCTCTCGCTAACGGAAGGATACGATGATGACTTTCAATTAAAGGTACGTAAAAAAAAAAAATTTTATTTATAAATATGTCGCCGGTTTTAAGGGTTCAAATTGTGTTTGTTTGTTTGTTTGTTTGTTATCCTTTCGATAATAATGACCGCGTTTGTCGATCATTGTTTCGCCCTTTATTGTTTTTCAACAACATCCTCCTTTAACTTCCCACATTTTTATTTATTTATTTTCTTATTATTATTATTATTTAAATTTGGTCATACCCGTAGGACGTTAGTTAAATTTTTTTTAAATGAAACTTTTTCATTCTTCCTTCTTTCCCCCCCTCTCTCTCTCCCCGTACCCCCCGAAAAAAATAAAATAAAATAAAATAAAATAAACTTACATTTTAGAATCTTCATTCCCACGAATGATTAGGTCATCATAAAGTAATAAAAACCAGCGACGACAGGTTCCAGAAAGAGAAAGAGGTTATTAAAAAATCTGAAAAAAAAAAAAATTTTATTTTGTAAACTGGGTTACGACGTGACACGATGATCTAATTACACGTTTCAATATCATCGTTTTATTCATTACACGAAATTTTGTTTTTTGTTTTTTTTTTTTTTTTTATGCATGACGTTATTTGATTTATTTTCGTTATTGCCAAAAAAAAAAAAAAAAGAAAATTGCTTTTTGAATTATTTATTTTTTTTGCAGACGAAAAGGCAAATTTACAGAGAACAAGTTCTTCCGTCGAAAGGTGGAAAGATACCCGATTCAGCATTCACAAAAGAACGTTTAGCTTTAAACAGGCTAAACAAAGAAGGGATTTCCATACCGGATGGCGTCCTGTTGGAACATCGTAATGTAGTACATCATCCTCATCTAACACAACACGATCCCGAAAATGAAGTAAGTATATTATTTACAATTTAAAAATTCGAACGATTTACACGGTATTATTATTATTATTATTATTATTTTCTCTCCAATAGGATTCTCTTATAAAAATAATACAAAATCCGGAAGATAGATTTGTTGCATCACCGGGAAAATATTTCAACAGCAATCCTCTAACGATATCATCGACGTATTTAATACGTAAACCCATAGAACACGAAACCATACCCGCGGTTAGATTTCCTCCGGGTCAAAATCCATATTCCCAATCTTTTTCACCGCCATCATCTTCCGTAAATCAAGTATTTAATACTTTCCCGTCAAAATATTATCCCCAACAGCAATTCGTAACGGCTAAATTTCCTTCGACTCATCATTCCCCGATCGTAGGTTTATCCGTCCCTCATAATTTAATACAAGCAAAAGTACCGTTTCAAAAATATAAACCCGCTACGACGATTCAATACCCTTCGAATAAATATTTACCCGTGCAACAGTACCAACACCAACAACATCAACATCCGGTTAAATACTATTCGACGAATATAAAAACCCCTCCAAAAAAATATTATTCCCAAGGATATACTCCGACGGTAGTACATCATCCTCATCCGCAAGGCTACGAACCTCCGGTGTCATATCAATCCGTGTCTTATTTTTCGGCAAGCGCACCCTTGGATGTACCCACGACGGATGTTATTAAGGGTTCCAACTACCCGAGTCCGGTGAGTACTCATGGAAACGACGGTCACACCATTGTACGTTGGCCACCTTTACCGGAACAATATTCTCAACAAATATCGAATAAGCTCAACGAATTTAATTATTATTCCTACGGTGGAATTCAGACTCCTCAATATCTATCACCAGAGGTAAATATTATTCAAATATTATTATTATTATTATCGTTGTTTTAACAATAACGACTTTTTTTTTTATTTAAAAATAAATATTATTATTATTATTATTATTACGTAAGTATCGAACGGATAGTGACGTAATAATAAATCGCTTGGGCATTAGTAGAAAATGCGTTTCGATTTATATACCCATCGTTTCGCATAACACTCGACTTTCAATTTTATCATTATTATTATTATTATTATTATTATTATTATTATTATTATTATTATTATTATTAATAATAATAATAATAAAAATTATTTCGCGTTATAATTAGGTTAACGACATTAATAAAAAAAAAAAAAATTTCGTTATTTTAAATCTACAATAGTCTCTCTCTCTCTCTCTCTCTCTCTCTCTCTCTCTCTCTCTCTCTTATCTATCATCTTTTTTTTAAAATATTCGCGACATTTTTTTATTAATTAATTAATTTCGAATAAATTGGTTTAGCTTTATGTAAGTGCGACATGTAAAATTTTTGTCGCAATTTTGTTAAGTTATACTACACGCAACGACAACAACAACAACAACACAATGTTATCATTAAATAAAATTAATAAATAATTCGTTAGGTGATTGTGATTTTTTTTTTTTTAATTCGTTATTTATTTAGGGTATCGAAACTTTCCCCCTCCCTCTCTCCTCCCCGTCTTACCCGCGCCTCCCCGAATAATTGATGACGTAACAAACGAGAAAATTAATCAAATTTGTATTTCTCGAGGCTTTTTCTCATGATATCTTTTTAAATCGTTAATTTATTATCATTATTATTATTTTGCTGGGTTTCATCCGAGTTGTAATCTTTTAATTTTTTACGACTTGTGTAACACCTCCTCCCTCCCTCCCTCCCACCCTACTCGAACATAAAAATATATATAATTAAGTAAAAAAAAAAAAAAAAAAATGAAATAAAACAAGATGTTTAAACAAGGTTAAAAATCTTATTGCCATCTTGTTTTAGAGGCTGATTCTTTTTTTTTTTTTACTCGATACTACTAATAATTATCTATTTTATTATTATATATATAAAAATTAACGAATGCGTAACGAGTAGATTAGATATTAATAAATAAAATTAAAATTACGTTTGTTGTTGTTGTTGTTGTTGTTGTTATTATTATTATTATGGAATCATAAGGAAAAAGTATAAAAAATATACGAACCGATCTTGACCCCTCCGACAAAGGTGCGTAGGTAGACAGTAAAACTCCTGAAAATAAAATTATTAGTATGAGAAATATTATTAATAATAATAATAAAAGTATTTTGAAGGTTCACACATAGGAATTTGTATGTAATAATAATAATAATAATAATAATAATAAAATTGTTAACGCGTGCCATGTTAAAAAAATGTGCGAGTTTTATCATTCAAATGCTTTTCATTTGCCACGATTTGAATTTGTTTAAATTTTAAATTAATGCGTTTACGCGCGTTTTTTAAATGGCGGGAAATTATAATAAAATTAACAAAGCTTTTTTTTTTGCGACGATATGATTTTTTTTTTTTTTTTAAATTGATGCTACTGCTGCTACGATGCGAATGAATGCTTTTTTTTTTTTAATGTAATATTTATTATTATAATGAATGCTTTTTTTTTTTTAATGTAATATTTATTATTATTATTATTATTATTATTATTATTATTATTTGCAATGCTTTGACGATAATTTGCCCGTTGAATACAGGTGTTGGGTTCTTTCGACGTCGGTACGCATTTTTACGCAACGAGTCCCGGCAGGTACTATAGAAAATCAATGGAAGGCTCATATGGAGATGACACTGAAAGAACAGGAAACGCCGAAGGAAAAGTTAAAAATATCAAATGTACGAACAAAACGAAAACATCTTCTACTTCCGGTGTTGATTCCGGCGGTACGACAGGATGTTATAACTGAATATAAATTTCCGCCGGAAATGGTTTAACCCAAACAAAAATTTATAAATGCATAAAAAAAAAATAATTAAAAAAAAAAAAAAGCGCTCATCTTTCGTTCGTTCATCAATCCAAAAGGTAAGTGTGTTTTTTTTTTTATTTTATTTTAATAATAATAATAATAATTATTATTATAAATCTCCCCCCTCCCCTGTTTTTAAAATTTTGTTCACGTAAGTGATTATCATTATCATTGTCGTTTTAGAAAAATTTTAATTAATAAGGATTAATTAAAACTTTCTCTATTTACAATAAACGTGCGAAAAATTAATTTAAATTTTTTTTTTTCCGTGAAAAACGAATGCGATCGATCATTTTTCTCATTTAAATAATAATAATAATTTACGCGCGCGTTTAATTTAATTTTAAAAAATTTTAACTCGGTGTAATTAATGATGATTTATTTTAAAATTTTCTTACGCTCGTTAAAAATTCGTTTCATTATTATTATTATTATTACCGTTAATATTTTTTAATTATACGTAAATTCATACATATTTAAATATTCGTATATATTGATGTGGGGAGGGGGGGAAGCCCCGTTTGCGAGTCACCTGAATTTTTAACGATATGCAATTTTACTTACTTGTGCGTAAAGGTGTAAGCGGGTCGCATATACGAAGGAAAACTCCCAAAATATTAAAAGTTCCCACGATGGCGATGAACAAAAGATTTGATTTTGTTTTTTTTTTTTTTTTTTTTTTTTCCTATTTCTTTCCAGGTTTCGGAATCTTTATTAAATTTATGGAAAGCAATGTCAAAATATTGTTCGAATAAAATTTGTCCGCCATTTCCGTGGTGATATCATCAAATGGTTGTTTTGTTAGACGACACTCATTGAAATTTATTTAATTCGTTTCACGTTTCGTTTCATTTTTTTTTTTTTTTTGTTTTAGTCGAATAAAAACCTATAATTATTAATTATGTATTATGAATTATTCGATAATTAATTAATTAATTAATTAAAAACTTAATTTTATTTAATAAATACATATAAATATATATATAGATGAAAACGTATAAGTATTACCGATTATTTTTTTTTTATTAATAACAAACCTGTTGACCTATTTATTAATAAATTTTATTTACAAAATAAAAGAAAAAATTTATTAATTAATAAATGAATAAAATAAATTTTTTCTTTTACGTGAATTATTTTTTCAAGTGCTTACCTTTTTTTTTGTTTTTAATTCCTTTTATTAAAATAAATTGTTTGAATTTTAAAGTACATTTTTTCAGTATTTATTTGAAATCTCTATTTGATTCCTCGGGAATAAATTCTGGGCTTTAGATGATGTCATTTGTAAAATGTGGGGGGGGGCTGTTCTTATAACTTCCTCTAAATTGCCCTTCAGGGATTTTTGCATGCCTTTCAGTGTTCTAACTTTGATCGGAATCATTTTTGTTTTAAGTCTTCTTACACAACTTAGCAATTTGGATTTCTAAATTTTTTCTTCTGCTACTACAGAGAGCCCTCTATTATTTTACATAATTTTTTCCTAAAATCAATAATTATATTAATTTAAATTATTTTTTTTCACGTGAGTACAAGAAATCACAGATGATAATATGTAACACTTCAAAAAAAAATATTAAACCGTCATTCGCATTAACTAATTTATCTCTTTCTCTCTCTCTCTCTCTCTCTCTGTCTCTCTTTCTCTCTCTCTTTCTATCTCTCTTTCTATCTCTCTCTCTTTCTATCTCTTTCTCTCTATCTCTCTCTCTCTTTCTCTCTTTCTCTCTCTCTCTTTATTTCTCTCTTTCTCTCTCTCTCTCTCTTTCTCTCTTTCTCTCTCTCTCTTTCTTTCTCTCTTTCTCTT